GTATGTTATCCACGCTGAGAAGCTAGGGATCTCTAGTGTATGCTAAGGATCTCTAGTGTATGTTGTCCACGCTGAGAAGCTAAGGATCTCTAGTGTATGTTGTCCACGCTGAGAAGCTAGGGATCTCTAGTGTATGGTATCCACGCTGAGGAGCTGAGGATCTCTAGTGTATGTTGTCCACGCTGAGAAGCTAAGGATCTCTAGTGTATGTTGTCCATGCTGAGAAGCTAAGGATCTCTAGTGTATGTTGTCCACGCTGAGAAGCTAGGGATCTCTAGTGTATGTTGTCCACGCTGAGGAGCTAAGGATCTCTAGTGTATGTTATCCACACTCAGGAGCTAAGGATCTCTAGTGTATGTTGTCCACGCTGAGGAGCTAGGATCTCTAGTGTATGGTATCCACGCTGAGAAGCTAGGGATCTCTAGTGTATGCTAGGGATCTCTAGTGTATGTTGTCCACGCTGAGGAGCTAAGGATCTCTAGTGTATGTTGTCCACGCTGAGAAGCTAGGGATCTCTAGTGTATGTTGTCCACGCTGAGAAGCTAGGGATCTCTAGTGTATGCTAGGGATCTCTAGTGTATGTTATCCACGCTGAGAAGCTATGGATCTCCAGTGTATGCTAAGGATCTCTAGTGTATCTTGTCCACGCTGAGAAGCTAAGGATCTCTAGTGTATGTTGTCCACGCTGAGAAGCTAGGGATCTCTAGTGTATGGTATCCACGCTGAGGAGCTAAGGATCTCTAGTGTATGTTGTCCACGCTGAGAAGCTAAGGATCTCTAGTGTATGTTGTCCACGCTGAGAAGCTAAGGATCTCTAGTGTATGTTGTCCACGCTGAGAAGCTAGGGATCTCTAGTGTATGTTGTCCACGGTGAGAAGCTAAGGATCTCTAGTGTATGTTGTCCACCCTGAGAAGCTAATGATCTCTAGTGTATGTTGTCCACGCTGAGGAGCTAAGGATCTCTAGTGTATGTTGTCCACCCTGAGAAGCTAAGGATCTCTAGTGTATGTTGTCCACGCTGAGAAGCTAAGGATCTCTAGTGTATGTTGTCCACGCTGAGGAGCTAGGGATCTCTAGTGTATGGTATCCACGCTGAGGAGCTAAGGATCTCTAGTGTATGTTGTCCACGCTGAGAAGCTAAGGATCTCTAGTGTATGTTGTCCATGCTGAGAAGCTAAGGATCTCTAGTGTATGTTGTCCACGCTGAGAAGCTAGGGATCTCTAGTGTATGTTGTCCACGCTGAGGAGCTAAGGATGTCTAGTGTATGTTATCCACGCTGAGGAGCTAAGGATCTCTAGTGTATGTTGTCCACGTTGAGGAGGTAAGGATCTCTAGTGTATGTTATCCGCGCTGAGAAGCTAGGGATCTTTAGTGTATGCTAGGGATCTCTAGTGTATGTTGTCCACGCTGAGGAGCTAAGGATCTCTAGTGTATGCTGTCTACGCTGAGAAGCTAGGGATCTCTAGTGTATGTTGTCCACGCTGAGAAGCTAGGGATCTCTAGTGTATGCTAGGGATCTCTAGTGTATGTTATCCACGCTGAGAAGCTAGGGATCTCTAGTGTATGCTAAGGATCTCTAGTGTATGTTGTCCACGCTGAGAAGCTAAGGATCTCTAGTGTATGTTGTCCACGCTGAGAAGCTAGGGATCTCTAGTGTATGGTATCCACGCTGAGGAGCTAAGGATCTCTAGTGTATGTTGTCCACGCTGAGAAGCTAAGGATCTCTAGTGTATGTTGTCCACGCTGAGAAGCTAAGGATCTCTAGTGTATGTTGTCCACGCTGAGAAGCTAGGGATCTCTAGTGTATGTTGTCCACGGTGAGAAGCTAAGGATCTCTAGTGTATGTTGTCCACGCTGAGAAGCTAATGATCTCTAGTGTATGTTATCCACGGTGAGAAGCTAAGGATCTCTAGTGTATGTTATCCACGCTGAGGAGCTCAGGATCTCTAGTGTATGTTGTCCACGCTGAGGAGCTAAGGATCTCTAGTGTATGTTATCCACGCTGAGGAGCTAAGGATCTCTAGTGTATGTTGTCCACGCTGAGGAGCTCAGGATCTCTAGTGTATGTTATGCACGCTGAGAAGCTAGGGATCTCTAGTGTATGCTAGGGATCTCTAGTGTATGTTGTCCACGCTGAGGAGCTAAGGATCTCTAGTGTATGTTGTCCACGCTGAGAAGCTAGGGATCTCTAGTGTATGCTAGGGATCTCTAGTGTATGTTGTCCACGCTGAGGAGCTAAGGATCTCTAGTGTATGTTGTCCACCCTGAGAAGCTAAGGATCTCTAGTGTATGTTGTCCACGGTGAGAAGCTAAGGATCTCTAGTGTATGTTATCCACGCTGAGGAGCTCAGGATCTCTAGTGTATGGTATCCACGCTGAGGAGGTAAGGATCTCTAGTGTATGTTGTCCACGCTGAGGAGGTAAGGATCTCTAGTGTATGTTGTCCACCCTGAGAAGCTAAGGATCTCTAGTGTATGTTGTCCACGGTGAGAAGCTAAGGATCTCTAGTGTATGTTATCCACGCTTAGGAGCTCAGGACCTCTAGTGTATGGTATCCACGCTGAGGAGCTAAGGATCTCTAGTGTATGTTGTCCACGCTGAGGAGGTAAGGATCTCTAGTGTATGTTGTCCACCCTGAGAAGCTAAGGATCTCTAGTGTATGTTGTCCACGCTGAGGAGCTAAGGATCTCTAGTGTATGTTGTCCACGCTGAGGAGCTAAGGATCTCTAGTGTATGTTGTCCACGCTGAGGAGGTAAGGATCTCTAGTGTATGTTGTCCACCCTGAGAAGCTAAGGATCTCTAGTGTATGTTGTCCACGCTGAGGAGCTAAGGATCTCTAGTGTATGTTGTCCACCCTGAGAAGCTAAGGATCTCTAGTGTCTGTTGTCCACGCTGAGGAGCTATGGATCTCTAGTGTATGTTGTCCACGCTGAGAAGGTAAGGATCTCTAGTGTATGTTGTCCACCCTGAGAAGCTAAGGATCTCTAGTGTATGTTGTCCACGCTGAGGAGCTAAGGATCTCTAGTGTATGTTGTCCACGCTGAGGAGCTAAGGATCTCTAGTGTATGTTGTCCACGCTGAGGAGCTAAGGATCTCTAGTGTATGTTGTCCACCCTGAGAAGCTAAGGATCTCTAGTGTATGTTGTCCACGGTGAGAAGCTAAGGATCTCTAGTGTATGTTGTCCACCCTGAGAAGCTAAGGATCTCTAGTGTATGTTGTCCACGGTGAGAAGCTAAGGATCTCTAGTGTATGTTGTCCACCCTGAGAAGCTAAGGATCTCTAGTGTATGTTGTCCACGCTGAGGAGCTAAGGATCTCTAGTGTATGTTGTCCACGCTGAGAAGGTAAGGATCTCTAGTGTATGTTGTCCACCCTGAGAAGCTAAGGATCTCTAGTGTATGTTGTCCACGCTGAGGAGCTAAGGATCTCTAGTGTATGTTGTCCACCCTGAGAAGCTAAGGATCTCTAGTGTATGTTGTCCACGCTGAGAAGCTAAGGATCTCTAGTGTATGTTGTCCACGCTGAGGAGCTAAGGATCTCTAGTGTATGTTGTCCACCCTGAGAAGCTAAGGATCTCTAGTGTATGTTGTCCACGGTGAGAAGCTAAGGATCTCTAGTGTATGTTATCCACGCTGAGGAGCTAAGGATCTCTAGTGTATGGTATCCACGCTGAGGACCTAAGGATCTCTAGTGTATGTTGTCCACCCTGAGAAGCTAAGGATCTCTAGTGTATGTTATCCACGGTGAGAAGCTAAGGATCTCTAGTGTATGTTGTCCACGCTGAGGAGCTCAGGATCTCTAGTGTATGGTATCCACGCTGAGGAGGTAAGGATCTCTAGTGTATGTTGTCCACGCTGAGGAGCTCAGGATCTCTAGTGTATGTTATCTATATCGATAGATCGATGTTCGCGCGATCGAACATCACTTTTCCTGATCACGTCAATAGTCAAAGCATATGGCACTGCCAAAAGACCACTAACATATTATTTCTTTGCTCATATTTGTCTCATAAAAGGACAGACATGTTTTCCGTCGGAACGTGTTTATTCAGTAATTTAAGAATAGTTTTATTGACAAGCACACCAAAGAACCTCTGTGTATCAGTGGGAATAACAGGCAGTTTGAAAAAGTGAAATAGTTGAAAAAATGTAAAGCGAAAATATACATTTTAATAGTACCAAACACAAACAAATTGCAATATATACATACAAATACGTGTCGATAATCAACAAAACAATGTACAAATTGATAATTGATATAATATATAATGATTTTATTGAGTGGGTTTGCCATGTAATAAACTATCCTTGGTCTCAGTGACATTACGTCCTAAATATGTTCATGTACATGTTTCCGAAGGCTGTGAAATATTTGTGCGTGTCGGTCTCTCATCAAACAATGTAATTGACGCAATTTATTTGTGTTTATTGTCATATCGCTTGTCATGAACATGAAACGGGTACATTACATCATCGCCGGTTAAAGCATAAAAGTAAACGGAAAATATTCTCTTTGCCCAAAGAGATTACAACTCATTTGCAGAATAAATATTTCAAACGTTTATCACACCGTAAAATTAGCCTACTGGGTAACCATCTTTCAACGTACCCAAACAATTCAGCAAGGCATTAGCCAGGAAAGATTGTCAGTGATTTAACCAGGAACCATATGTGCATGTTGACATGTCTTTGAATGGAGAGAGGGGTGTTTGTAACTAAGATAAATATCTGAAAGAAAAACGTGCTATAAAGTCTGCCACAAATTGTGATGATAAACACTACCAGCAGTGATACTGTATATCAACAATCAGACCCAATACAAAATATATTTATTATTAATTATTTGAAATGAGTCCCAGATTCCTATTGACGTTTCAACTCTCAATGGAAGCTGCGGTGCTCTCCTTCGAAAACGGACCACGTAAACTCCAAACCAGCGCGTGACACATTTGTACAGAGATCTGTTAATGGGCTCTCGCTGCAAAGAGCTTACGGGCAGCGAGCACGTCCTTGACCACCAGCGTTGGACAAGCCCAGTCTCTGTGCTCAGGCTCTACATTGGGTTGTCGAGAGAAATCTGGCTCCCAGTATCGTCATCCTCGCTCTTACTTTCTTCATCCTTTTCTTCCTTCATACAGGCGATAAATTCTGCGTGGGAGAAAATCAGTTACGATTCAATACCAGTACAACATCAATACCCGCCAAGTCTCACCCATTTGACTTGAGATTCTCTCTTTAATTCCTCATGTCACGCTCTCACAACAAAACTGATAAATCTCACGTCAAACTGGGTTCATGTAAAAACATATATCCGTTACAAATCACACAAATAGGTCTGAATACATTTTTTTCAGTGATGTTTCTGAGATGAGAATTTATAACTTTGCGTATGCTTCAGGACCCAGCCGGCCCTTGGAGCCCGGTATAGAACTAACGCTTAGTCTCTGAATATATATAACTTTGAGTGTAACAAATAAACCCATTTAAATTTAAAAGGAGCCCCAGTCAGATGGGAAATTCAGAATCTTAGGCAATCTAGACTTGCTGTAATTACACCTTAGCATTTATAGGCAGCAGGGAAAATCACGTGGTTAAGGGACTGTGGTAAGTCCTTGAGTGTGAGAAGCTTTTTCTCTCTCTTGGGACGAGAAGCTCTGAATATCCAACATACTCTAAAAAATATAATCCTATTAGAGTTTACAGCATGTTCAATAAGGTGTCTTATCCTGATTAATTCTCACCTTCAAAATCGATCCTTCCATCACCATCGATATCGACCTCTGCAATCATCTCGTCAACTGAAAGAAGGGTACATACGGTAACCAACACATGCTCGTCGTAAGTGGCGGCTAACAGAAGCGGGTGGCCAGGCTCACTGACTTGGTTGACATCCAAATTGCGTAGATCGATATGCTGTTGATCACTGGATTGTTTGGTGCAGACTCGATTATTGCAGAGTGCGGCGTTAAACAACAAACCAACCAACATATCGCCGTCACATGGCAGTAATGCTGTGCGGCATGAAGCAACTTCTGTGAATGGCGGGTGCTATCGTTGGAGGACATGCTTACTCTTCTCGGGAACACCCGGCGTCATTACTGAGGTGGTCAGTGGTCCATTCGCACAATTTTCACTTCTTGTTAGTTCGCCAAATAGAAAATGACTGAAGATTCGTTAACATCTTGGACAGCTGTATACTGATTGACCCACGTACTCTAGCATATTGCTTTAGATCAGCTGACCTCGAGTCTAGTTGGCATGAACAAGGAGGTACATTAGGAAGCTGCTCTGTTCCATCCTCGACAATCTAGTGTTTCTTAACCTCATTCCCTTGTACTGTATGCTTGCATTGAATGGACCCTCTACCTCTGTTATTGCCAACTCACCACAATTCTTCCACTAATAATTATAAATATGAAATCAACGACCGGTCACAAAGCGTCTTCTTTACGCAAGTTCGGCATGGATTCTCATCCCAAACCTCGGCAATGTACACGCGAACCCTCGATAAATTCAATAGAAGAAGAAGACTACACACGATTTTGGATTGGTTGTTTTTAAATGACGCACTCAGCAATATTTCAGCTATATGGCGACGGTCTGTGAAAATACGAGTCTGGACCAGACATTCCAGAGATCGACAGCATGAGCATCGTTCTACGCAACTGGGATACGATGACATATGTCAGCCAAGTCAGCGAGCCTGACCACCCGATCCCGCTAGTCGCTTCTTACGACAAGCAGGGGTTACTGAAGATCAATTCTAACCCGGATCTTCACGGGTTGTCTACACATGAACACTCGTGGTTGGTAATGTGTTCAAGACGGTTTAGGTCGGTGATGAACGCCATTGTTCTGCAAGATGTTGCCCGATGTATTTGAGACGACAGACAACAAAGCTACTCAGGTACTGTTGACAGTGTTTCTCTATCATGAAATTTGATTGGACCGCTGTTTTAAACGTCGTGGCCTCCAAACCCGACGCCGTGGAGGTGAATGAATTAAGGTGGGATGACATAAAATTTACATATCCCAGAAATAAATACAAAGTAATAAAAATACTAAAGGAGCCCAGAAAAGGAGCAGTCATACAGCAGACTTAAATTTGACTTATTTCTTAATTCATTCTTATTTCAAATATATATCTACGAAAACAAACATAACTCCAAAAAGAGAATGGAAGCATTTCTGCTGGGGCAGTCGAGACTTACCCAGCCATTCTAGATCTGAGACAGACTCCTGTTTAATTTTATTCTCCGTCGTGTCTCGGAGGCAGAGAAGGTGGGCTACTGGTATTTACCATAACAGAATGGATTATGATACACCTGATAATCGGGGTTTATGTTGAGGAATCTAACTATGGCAAATGCGGAGTTTGGTTGTTAGCCGCGCCCAGCATTATTCCTGCCGTGTGACGTCAGTTTGTAAATAATGGAGTCTGCACCAGACAGACCGGGTAATAAAACCCAATCCAGCCACTAGTCTCTCCATTAGACTTCCGCAATCGCAAAAAGAATCAGATCTTAGTTCTCACTACCGATAAACAAAGGTCAGAAGTCATTCCTTTACCGTGCACGTCAGAACGAGACTTAATCCAACCAATCGGAGAGTCTCTTTCAAGATCGGGAAGTGGATTGTGCTTTCTTATCATTTAATCTTGGATAAGTAATACGAGGTAAGCCGAAGGACAGTTACGGGCCGTAAGACATCTCTCGCTTGGGACAAACATTTGAAACGGAAGTCACTTTCCACACCCAGCAAGAGGCAGTGCCATACAAATGCGACCATCAACAGACATTCTCGAATTATCTTTTGTTTCATTTTCAAAGTTTGAAGGGACAGTTTTTTTCAAAGCGTCGTCTGGAATTGAACTCGCCAGTTTTGGAACTAGTGTCTTAAAGTACGAGAACACTGATTCCTATTGTCTTATGCCACGTCTTTGCTAGCCATGTATTTGGTAGGTCGTTCTGACGTACCCGTAATGGCGATGTCTTCAGATCTTTTTTTAGAGGTAGCGAGAAATATGATCTGATCTTAATATGATTGAGACTGTCATAGACGTAATGTAATCTCCACGGACTAGACAAGTGCTGTTTGCAACACAATGAAGCCTCTCGAGGTCCATTTCTCGACGAGCTAACATGATTCTTATATGATTCCGTAAGTATCTGACTTCAAGTCATTACTGTGCTTGTATCCAAATACATACAAGTCAAACATATTCCAGAGCCGAGGTGTCAATGTGTATGGTTTTGGCAAGAAACCTCATTTGACAGTAAACTGAGAGGCGTGTGGATGAATGTTCTAGGCACCATTAAGCGAGGATGGTTGATGTGGAGATTCAGCGTGATTTAACCAATGTTTGTTTTCGTGTTTCTTCAACAAATCTACGTACTCTCTTCCTCTGTGAGATCCTCGCCCATACACTGTAGCACTGCTCTCAGGTCAGACGCTGTGATGTACCCACAACCAGACTTGTCAAATACCTGTAACACACGGCATGACACAAATAAACGAGCGAGTGAGTATGGTTTTACGCCCCTCTTAGCCATATTTGCCCAGCGGAACACCAAAACAGGTTTCCAAAATTGCACCCTTTTGAAAACTGAACGTGGGACCTTCGCAGCCACAGAGAGACGAACATATTATATATGTCATCGATCACATGGCGTAATCAGTTTTACATCAAGCTTGCGGGACAGCCATGCTGAACCAGTCGTACTCCGCCTTTAAAGTGCGTCGTGTTTCCAGGAAACCATGTCAGATATGTAATAACTGATGGGAACACTTGCTTTGAAGGTTTCTTGATCAGCTATAGATGCCTACACAACAAACGTTAAAGAGCATGTCATCAGATTTTGAAAGAATGGTCCCAAATTGTTTAACTCGCACAGAGAACTAGACTAACGCTTAGTCTTTGGAATACATTTAATTTTGATTGTAATAAATAAACCCATTTAAATTTAAAGGAGCACCAGTCAGATGTGAAATTCAGAACCTGAGGGAATCTAGACTTGCTCCATTTAGAGACTTAAATAGCATTGCAGGGAGGGCAAGGCAGTAGGGGAAAATAATGTGGTTCAGGGACTGTGAGACAGACTAACATAGAACCACCCCACCATGCTGTGAATAGGAGGGCTCCTTACAGTGAAGGCTTGCCGGAGTTCCTCTTCCTCATCCTCCTCCGACTGCTCGCTGCTGATGCCGCCCATGTTCGCCATCACCTGCACAAACTCCTCGAACGTGAACGTGCCATCGCCTGTCATAACGAAAGAGTGAGCGCTTTAAAATCCCAAACAGTAAGATTATCGAAGAGTTCACTTACATGGGAACCCTGATACAGCAACACATTTAGCATAATAAACAGAGCACACTGTCACAGACAACATAAACAGAACATACATACACAGAGCATACACACCATACACAAACATACAAAGAACATACATTCTTACAATATACATACGAAAACACACACAACAGATATTCACACACGGCAGATATAACACACATACACACCGTGCTAGTACACAATTCATGCACACACGCATACCTATACACAAAACATACACCTACATTATACATACATCATTAAACATGCATGCATGTATGCACACACGTACATAATACATATATACTTGAAAATGAACACACATCATTACATGAACACATTCACACGCAAGTACGCGTACATACACTCTGCACACACCTGCATAAAACATACACAATTACACGCACATACAGTGGGAGAGGAGAGAGAGAGAGAGAGAGAGAGGGAGAGAGAGAGAGAGAGAGAGAGAGAGAGAGAGAGAGAGAGAGAGAGAGAGAGAGAGAGAGAGAGAGAGAGAGAGAGAGAGAGAGAGAGAGAGAGAGAGAGAGAGAGCTGCAGCATACATTCACACCCACGCAGTTTCACTAAGTGCCTGCTTGCACTTATCATATTCACACTAAACTAAGTAGTTTACCCTGATAAAAAAATGTCTGCAACAGTTTCATTTCACTAATAATTAATTCCTGGCGATTTGCTAGATCCACTAGAAAGTTTAGTTTCTAAATACTTTACCAAAAACATTATGAAAATATGCAATGTGAAATGTTGGTTGCAGTTGGATGTGTAGTGGTCAGAACGTGAATCGTTGATGTGAATATATATGAAGGATTAACCTGATGGATTACTGCGGCCCTTTATACCCACGTTCCCAGTAACTGATATACGGAGTGTTGGAACATGACGTAAACAAATCCATCATCAGCTTATATCAACTCATTTCCTTACAACGACACGGCTGGTGCTGTAACTCGACACATACATCCTTCTACTGTATTACATTGTCAAGCCACACTGATACGTACAGAAGTAATCGTGTCATCTACAGTCACATAGAAATGTATTATCATTAACCCATGACATATACAAGCTCATAACAAATAACATATTCCTCGTTAGTTTCGGAATATCAGCTTTATGGATGACCGTTAGAGTATATATTTCATATAATATCTTCATCCAGCGTCTTCCCCGTGAACCTCATCTGGGGAACAAAAGCGTAACATGAGTAAATCATCAAGGGAAATGTTCTGAGCTCGGCGTCAGGTGTAGGTTTACGAGGAACGTGGTGTGGACTGTAAACATGTCTCCGATTCAGGGTATCTTCAGTAAGCGATTTGCTTTTATTTACATTCTACATTTCCAATGTGAATCATTCTACATACATCATTTCTTGCCAATGTGATTCTTTCTCAAATCATTTTATGTTACCATTCATACATCTACCAGTGTTGTCATAGTGATCGATTCTTACATCTTTCGTGTTGCCAAAATGGTTTGTCCTTACACCTTCCTCTGTTGTCATAGTGATCGATTCTCATATCTTACATGTTGCCAAAATGGTTCATGATTACACCTTACTGTGTTGTCATAGTGATTCATTCTTACACCGTGCTATGATGCCATATTGGTTCATTCCTACATCTTCCTCTGTTCTATAATGGTTCATTCCTACACCTTCCCTCAGTTGGTATGATGGTTCATTCCTACACCTTCCTCTGGTGCCATGATGGTTTATTCCTACACCTTCCTTACACTTGCAGTATGATGGTTCATTCCTACACCTTCCTAGCGGATTGGTATGATGGTTCGATTCCCTACACCTTTCTTAGTTGTCATAGTGATTCATTCCTACACCTTCCTCTGGTGCCATAATGGTTCATTCTTACACCTTCCTCTGGTGCCACGATGGTTCATTCCTACACCTTTCTTAGTTGTCATAGTGATTCATTCCTACAACTTCCTCTGGTGCCATAATGGTTCATTCTTACACCTTCCTCTGGTGCCATGATGGTTCATTCCTACACCTTTCTTAGTTGTCATAGTGATTCATTCCTACACCTTCCTCTGGTGCCATAATGGTTCATTCTTACACCTTCCTCTGGTGCCATGATGGTTCATTCCTACACCTTCCTTAGTTGTCATAGTGATTCATTCCTACACCTTCCTCTGAATTGCCATAATGGTTCATTCTTACACCTTCCTCTGATGCCATGATGGTTTATTCCTACACCTTCCTTAGGTGGTGACCGGGATGGTTCATTCCTACATTTTCCTCTGTTCCTATAATGGTTCATTCCTACACACCTCCTTAGTTGGTATAATGGTTCATTCCCACACCTTCCTTAGGTGGTATGATGTAGTTCATTCCTACACCTACCTTAGTTGTCATAGTGATTCATTCCTACACCCTCCTGGTGCCATAATGGTTCATTTCTACACCTTCCTCTGGTGCCATGATGGTTCATTCCTACACCTTCCTCTGGTGCCATAATGGTTCATTCCTACACCTTCCTCTGGTGCCATGATGGTTCATTCCTACCACACCTTCCTCTGGTGCCATAATGGTTCATTCCCTACACCTTCCTCTGGTGCCATGATGGTTCATTCCTACACCTTCCTTGGGTGGTATGATGGTTCATTCCCTACATTTTCCTCTGTTCCTATAATGGTTCATTCCTACACCTTCCTTAGTTGTCATAGTGATTCATTCCTACACCTTTCTCTGGTGCCATAATGGTTCATTCCTACACCTTCTTCCTCTGGTGCACATCATAGTTCATTCTACACACCTTCCTCTGGTGCCATAATGGTTCATTCCTACACCTTCCTCTGGTGCCATAATGGTTCATTTCTACAACTTTCTCTCTGGTGCCATGATGGTTCATTCTACACACCTTCCTCTGGTGCCATATTGGTTCATT